TGTGAGCGTGCGCAGTAGATACATGTACTGTGTGTGCACAAAGTCTGGCCAATGAATATGAAGGAATTTCAAAATTTAGAACAGTTGTTCGAAAGATAAGACACTGCGCAGGCGTTAGGCTGTTGCGTTGCACAACTGTTCGTAGAATATTGACCCCAAATTTTCGCACAAATTTTGCCAATCAAGTATGTATTGTTTATCCATTTATTTTTTAGATCAGTGGTAAAACTCCAAAACTTTTGTATCTACAATTTTTTGAGATATCTCTTCGCACATAACCCTTTTAGTGGGGGGTCAATCGAGGGGGTAACAACTAGTGGCAATACATGTAAAAATTTTATTGCATTACAAAGCATTACGTGCGCATAACGACGCATTACTGGCATTAAGGTGGCATTACTTTGGCACCATGAGACATTACTGGGTATAACCAGGGATTATGCTGGCATTACCAGGCATTACTACGAATATCGCGGAATTTATACGCTTACATTCAATGGAGTTACGGTTGATTTTAACCCTCAAATTTTCCAAATATTCCCGGAGAGATCATATTCATATTAACAATACCAATCCCAATATTAAAAATATCTTTGGGTAAGTTTGTGTATCTATAAAATGAAAACAATTTCACATATACAGGGTGAAGCAAAAAAAAAGTTACTATAAAATATGTATTTGTTTTAAATGGGACACCCTATATTATAGGTCTATTCTCACAGAAATTACAAACCAGTCGGAGCGAATTTTATTTGGGAGAAAATAGTTAGAAAGCTTGTGTGTTGTTAGTGATTTGCACAGAGAAAACAACTGAAGATAGGAGAAAACGAGTTTTACTTTCCTGTTCTAGCTTGACTATACCTTGAGATAGAGGTGACGATATTATCGATAGTTTATCGATAGTATCGATATTTCAGAAAAATTCGAACAATCGAAAATATCGATAGTTCAAAGTGCAACTATCGATAGTCGCGGGATAATCGAATTCAATGAACTAATACTAACTTATATTGAATAGGAATTATTTATAGAGTTCACTGCTCCAATTTTGAATGTAAAATAGGTTGGGTCAACGGGGTTTGGGGTGCACGGTACACAGGACTGACTGCACCATTGCACCCGGTGTAATCTACGATAGAAATTGGACAGAGAAAAACGACAGACTCTCGAGCGGCGACTTATTAGTTTAGTTTGGTTTTAGGTAGTTTCTAATATCAAGGTTTAATACGATAATAGACACTTTAAGTTAGACAAAATACGTTAACGGTAACGTAAGATTTGACAGGTGCGCATGCGCAGTTTGTTTTCACCAAAAATAGCGTGTTACGTGTCACGTTATTTAACTGGTTTTTGCGTGTACCTTATCTGTAAACGTTCGTTGAACCGATCGAGTGGGTCCGAAAGCCAAATTGCTGGTGTAGACCTTTGCCGAATGTATTTTAACCTTAAAAAAAGGTATCATGTAATTGAAAATAATGAAAATACCATAATAATTCCTAATTTTTCCTTTTCACAACAAAATTCAGAGGTTAGGTCATGATTGTGAGAGATAACGTTAACATTTACGTGAAAATTTAACTTAAACTGATTTGTGAGCACCGACGGTCACTCAACGCTATAGTAAAAATAGGGTTTACGTTTAAAGATTACGTTAACGTGTTTGGTCCAACTTAAAGTGTCTATTGTTTCTTTCCATAAAAAAAATAAAATAAAACAATATCAATAATTTTTTGTTTGTTTCAAACTATCGATAAATTATCGATAATTTCGATATTCACCACCATGATTATCGAAACTATCGATATTATTTTTTTATCACTATCGTCAACTTTACCTTGAGAGCTACTCAAAGGTTAAGTTATATTGGTGGTACCAAATTTGGTATCCATACTACCATCAGTACCATCATCGAGACTACTATGAGTACCACCATTATCAGATAGCTATTGAAATGTTAAGATAGATTTTTTTTTTTTGCGTACAATGCAAAAATAACATAATCAGTCATATGGATAAAGTATAGCAAAAATGTTTTTACTCTATCTCCATCTTTTTTTGCTGCATTAAAGCTGAATATGTTTATATCAAAAAACTTGAGTAAAAGCATTTGCTCCTGTTTTATTCATATGAGCCAATATACAGGGTGTCCCATTTAAAACAAATACCTGATATTCTACTGCAACTTTTTTTTGGCTCACACTATGTATGTTAAATTATTTATATTCTTTATAGATTCTTGTTAACCCTACAACATAGACTTTGCTACAACTTTGCTATACATGTAATGAATTAAAATGTCCGATAATGACTACATAATTCAATTTTTGAAAAATGTTCTAGAAAATTCCATATGGCCTTATGACAATGACATACTACAATCTGTAGGACATTCTTATGAATCAATAAAAATCATTGGGCCAGAAACGTTTCAACAGTTGACCCATAGGATAAATCCAGATATAAAATATTAACCTATAATGGTTAATAAACTAACAATTTGTACATCGATTTCTGAAATCGTATAAGATTTCGACAATTTTCAAGGAATTTCGAAAGATTTCGGATATTTGACTTTCAATACCGTACCAAGATTTTGAGGATTTCGATAAATTTATTGGGATTTTAGAAGGATTTCGGATGAGAATTCGGGATTTCAGAAGGATTTTAGTTGGGATTCCGAGATTTCAGAAGGATTCATTTCGGTTGGGCTTTCGGGATTTTATAAGGATTTCGGATGAAAATGTACAGCGATTTTCGGAGTTAGGGCGGGTATTATAAAACTGCTTTCACAGTTAACTTGAAGTTAACTTTTTGAATTACATGTAATTCCAGAAGTTAACTTTAAGTTAACTCTCAAAGTAGTTTTATAATACCCGCCTTTAGTCGCAGCTGAGGGGGAGTAGATTCACTACAATTTGTATATCGATTTCGGAGATCGGATAAGATTTCGACAATTTTCAAAGGATTTCGAAAGATCCGGGTATTCGACTTTCAACGCCGTACCATTAAGGATTTCAAGAAATTTATTGGGATTTCAGAAGGATTTCGGTTAGGATTTCGGGATTTCATAGGGATTTCGGATAAGAATTCACTGTACGCGATTTCGGATGGATTCCGGTATTTTTAAAGGTTTTCGAAAGAATTTTAAGGAATTTCGGATAGAAATGAAAAACAAATTTTGACTCACAACCACGACTTTGTTAATTTCAATTTTTTCTTAACGTAATAAGGCTTCAAATAAAGCCAATTAAATTCTCTTCTGTAAATGATTTAAATGCAACCTCAATAGTTTTGCAGCTACAAAGCTTCAGTCTTTTTTGGCTTAGATTTTTATCCAAAATGACACAAACACACATTTTGTCTCACAGCTTTGTTAATTTCGATTCGATCTTAATGTAATTAGGCTTCAATTGAAGCCAATGAAATTCTCTATAAATCTCCTGTGAATAATTTCAATGCAACTTCAATAGTTTTGCAGCTACAAAGTCTTTTTTAACTTAGATTTTTATTGAGGGGCGGCTCACTCACCACAATTTGTACATCGATTTTGAAAATCGCATAAGATTTCGACAATTTTCAAGAGATTTCGAAAGATTTCGGATATTCGATTTTCAACACCGTACCACTAAGGATTTCAAGAATTTCGATAAATCTATTCGGATTTCGAGATTTCAGAAGGATTTCAATTGGGATTCCGGAATTTCGGTTAGGATTTCACTGTTCGCGATTTCGGATGAAAATATAGAGCGATTTCGGGAATAAGCCGCCCCTCGTTAAATTCTAACCATTGGAAAACTCTGCCAATATGTAAAGACAACAATGTTTAACATTACACATTGGAATTACCAGAATTACTTCAAAAAAACATGTAATTCGCAATACATGTACAAATTTTGGTCCAGTTGTAACCCCCTCGGACTCAATATATGGGAAAAGACTCTTTTGAAGTACTTGCAATACTTTCATTGTACCTACTTGAAGTGTAGTACCTTTATAGTATTTGAAATACTGTTGAGGTACTTCAAGCTTTTCAAGTACCTCTACTTTTATAATATGCTTGTAGTACTTTTTGATGTATGTATTCAAACCCTTGTACTTGATGAAATCAGGTACTAGGTGTTTGTTTATAACTGGAACACTCAGTAACTTTCTTATATTATTGAAAATGAAGATGGCATGTTTAAGCTGGAAAATTTCTTGGTAAATTGCAACCTTAAACGCTACAATATTTTTTTGTCGTCATAGGTTTACAGTGTGCGCCAAAAAGATTTTTTTTTTTTTTAAATGGAATGTCCTGTATATTTTATCCAAATAATATTTGTGATATGTTTGTGAAGCTAACTTTCTAAGAATTTTAATAATGCGTTTGATTTGAAAAAATGACTTTTTTGGCGCACCCTGTATACCTATGGCGACAAAAAAATCTCGTTGTAGCGATTAAGATCGTTGTAATTTACCAAGAAATAGGTACATTCCAATTTAAACATATGCCCTTTATTCTCAATAATAAAAAAATTATTAAGTGTTTCAGTTATAAACAAACACCCTGTACAATGCAAAGAAAATTGTTGAAAATAATGCACGTACTAAGTACCGTTTATCCACTGTACTTTAAATACTTACAAGAACTTGGAGTACAATTTCAAGTATTTTTTTGAAGTATCTGTCAGCTCTTTGCTTGCTACCAAGACTCAGAAGTTATAACCACTATAATTTATTCTAATTTTTTGTTGTATAGCTTTAGATAAGTAACGCTATTTGTCTTTCTTCTAAATCTAAAAATTATAGTAAAATCAAAAAAATTTATTTCATATTCTTGTTATAAAATTGTTACATAAAAAAAAAAAATTCGCCCACGCAACTTCGCCGTTCTTTTATTATCAGGCAGCAGCCCTTTCGTATGTAATTCAGTCGTGGCTCTTCAACAACATCCTCCTTCCAACGCATCCCGTGTATTCGCCCGGGGGCCATCATATCACCACAGAGCGAAGCAAAAGCACCAGGAGTCCAGCTCTTTGCTTTTTGGTCCGCTCTTTGAATGAGTCTTCCCGCGTACGCCTTCGTGGAAGCTGTATAGACTTTTTTTCGTGTGTCCGAAGAAGAACTTTTCGACGCGGACGATACCTACTCTAAGTGAATTTTCGGCTTAATTTTTTTGTGAAAAGGGTTACTTTAAGTTTTTTTTGGAATGGAGTTAATTTTTTGGCGCCGTAATCGGTGAGTTGAACTTAATTTTTTTTTTTTTTAATTTAAAATTTTCAATGTAAACTTCCTCTCCAAAGCCTCTAAACTTCAACCTTAAAGTGTTAAAGATAAAATAGGTACCACTTTTCTTCAACCCTAGATTCTTAATCAAAATTTTGAAGTTTTCAGTTACATATAGAAAAAAATGTATTAAAACAATTAACTCTATAAATCATTGATGAACAAGCCCTCCTCTACGAATACAGATTGAGAAACTTAAAAAAAACATTACGTATTTTTTGAAGATTCTTTGGAAGAGGCTTTAGACCCATCAAAAATTCTTCCGAATGAAAATTTAAAATGCAACTTTAAATACTTTGGGGTTGATGGTTGGTGACGGGGAGACAAACTTCAAAAAAATCTTAAAATTCTCAAGTTCTCACTCTATCGAAAAACCTTTCAGGAATCTTCTTCCATAGACGTTGCAAGTAGATTTTGACATGGCGATATTTTCATTTTCAAACCAATTTCTTATAATTTGGTGATTTCTGAGATATGTACTTTAAACCCCTCAAAGTCACATAATAGCAAAAACTCAAGTTCCCATAAGAACATTCGTTTGCGGGTGGCAACGCATATTATCAATATACCAAACTCGCAGATCGTATTTCATGCAATAAAATGACGGCCTCTTTGTCGTTACTTTCTTGTAAAAGCAATATAATACTTGTTACGTACAAGACCCACTAAAATTAAAAAGAAAAGTCCCAGCTAATTTGTAGACTAAATATTTGAGTCTTGAGCGTCAAACGGTAAGTACATTTTTACCTCCATAGTATTTAGCTTATTTAAATAAGCAAACAGCACGGGTCAATGTGGGTTTTGATTTAAAAATAGGATTTTTTGTTTGAGTTAATTAAAATTGTGGCTAAGGTGTATAAAAGCCTAAGTATACACACTGGCCAGCACAAATTCAGGATTATTATCTTCAATACCGCGTCGGTTATAATCTTCGAATACGGTGCCTCGTCTATAACGAGCTTAATAACGCAGACGAGAGCCTCGGCGTGAAAAAAATTGAGTCATAAACATTATACCTAGGATGGTTTATTGCCGAGATCTTGACAGTTGATTTACCATCCATGGGGCAAACATGCTGAAAATTGAATTGCCAACTTATAATTTAATTGGAAATCAATTTGCGGCATCGAGATTCCAGATAGACGAGATAGTTATGGTTGTTTTAAGTCGATGATGGTGTCAATAGTTTTGAAATGGCCTGAATTGAATTACAAATTATTGTAGTTTGGTGTTTGGAATTTGACCACCCAGCAAGAAGTATACAAACTTGACAAAAATTTGACTTTTCAGTCATTGTTACTTAATGAACATCAATGATTATTATTCATTTGATGCAAACACATGCACACGTTGGATAATAAACATTCAACTTTCTTTCATCTTTGCCATAAGAAAATTATTCATGGAGTCATCAACTACTTCCTAAAGCTATGCACCGCCACATTTGCAGGATGTTATGCAAATATACGTCATAAAATTTGTTATTATTTCGTAAGGTGCACAGGGTTCACAAAAACTCAAATTTTTTTAAAAAATTTCTATTAGGTTTTTCTATTTTTGTGTTTATTCAACTTTCTGAAGTCGCAGAGGATTTCGACAGTTTTTAGGGATTTTGGATTTTCGAAAGATTTCGGATAATATACTTACTAAGAATATACTTAGAATTTCTATAAATCTATGGGAATTTTAGGATTTTAGGAGATTTCGGAAAAATTTTGGAGATTTCCATGATTTGTTATTCGGTCATATGTTAAACGCAAAAATATCAATGCTTTGAATAATCAGGACATTCATAATATTTTTTCTGATACAGTAGGCTCTTGAATTTTCCTTATTTCGATAAATTCAAGAGCCGAAAATAGACAAAAATTGAGATGGAAAAATTGAGAAATTAATAAAAGAAAGTTAAGAGGAATTGAGAAAAAAATTGTAGAAAAATAATCACAAAGTATTTACAAAGGTTGTAGTACAGTTTGTGAATAGACAATATTCACAATCCGATGTTCAAAGGTAAAGGTAAAATTTATCACCTTTCAATGCTATTTGATAGGGAAAGGTGATAAATTTACCTTTACCTTCGGGTTACGGATTGTGAATAAGATATACTGATTTTGTGAACCAATTTGCCTTTTAACAGGAATTACTAATGTTACTTTATCAAATTAGTAACATAATGTGACAAGTTATTCAAGTATAAATAAGTGAATTGTTGCGGAACTTATGGGTGGACCTCTGCGGGACGAGCGCAGCGAGTTCCGCAGCCATCTATTCATCAATATGATGTTTAATTACAATACTAACCTGACACACTCAAATATGAGTTATTCTCATTAGTTTAAAAAGTACACGTTTCAGGTGAGTGTCTTATTTGAAAAGTTCAACAGTATATTGGTGAGTAGATGGCTGCGGAACTCGCTGCGCTCGTCCCGCAGATGTCCACCCATAAGCGCAATAATCCACTTATTTGTATAGGGTGTTTTTTTATATATTGACACCCCATCTACAGCCTTTACCTTTATAGGTAGAAGAAAGGTGTAAATACAAAAGTTGTACAGAATGATCTATTATAAATGTCACCCCCTGCTAACTTTCTCATTTGACGTTTTTGACAAAAATGTCAAATACAAAAGTTTTAAGAAATTGTCAAAAGTTTTCAACTAAGTCAGTTTTAGGTATACAGGGTGCATCAAAAAAGTGCAGCATTTTTTTAAATGGAACACCCTGTATATTGTGCGCCTATTTGTTAGTTTCCTTTAACCTGATTTCAACGATATACGGTTTGATATGTTTATCTCTCGGTTTATCTTCAATAGTTATAGGGAAAAACGCGAAAATCCCTTCCTAGGTCTCTCATGTTATTTTAAAAAAAATAATAATGTTAACTTTAGACATCTGGTTTTATCATAATATTTCACCTTGTATATTAATGAATAAGATTTGAACAATGAACTGTTCATGGAAAAATTCTCCATGGCTTGAATGGTATAATTTTTCTTTTTTCAATATAATGCCTTGAAAGGGGTTTTCATGTTTTTCCCTATAACTATTGAAGATAGACATATCAAACCGTATATCGTTGAAATCAGGTTAAAAGGGACTTACAAATAAGCGCACAATATACAGGGTGTTCCATTTAAGAAAATATAACTTCACGCTGCTGCACTTTTTTGACACACGCTGTATGCCTGAAATTTACTTAGTTAAAAACTTTCGATAATTTCTTGAAACTTTTGTATCTGACACAAAAAGTTAGAAGGGGGTGACATTTATAATAGATCACCCTGTACAGTTTTGGCTGAATTTTTAGAAACCATGGTCAGAAACAAAGTTTGAATGTCAGAAATGTGGAATTTTGCATGCTTCCAACTTTTTTCAAATGGGATGCCCTATATTTCATTCGATATTCTTGAAGAGCGCAATGCCCTGATTTCAAAAATATTTAGTTTTTCTATATTAGAGTGAACAGTCTCACATATTCGACTCCAAAAATTGTAAAAATACATCCTACTACTGATTTTGTGAACCATTCTACCTGTATAAGTGAGAGCTGCGAGTAAAGTTTGAGGTACTTGGTTTCTCTGATAGTATTTTTAAAATTTTTAGAACCAAATATGTAAGGATGTAAGTCAATTTTTCTGACAGTGTCATGTCACAGTCAAAATGAAAATGACGGTCACGTCATTTATTTTTATGACACTCTTGTCATTTATTTTTTTAGGTATGCATTAAATTTTCTGACAGTCAAAATGATAACTGACCGTCATTAAAATTAATGACCATAATTGAAATATATGACAGTGACACAAAAATATCAGCTGACTCTCGATATTTACTGTCAATCTTTTGGAGGAGATGGGAGTGTACTTTCTAACTCATTAGATGACTTTGATGCTGATGACTGTGAAACTGGAGAAGAACTATAGTCAACCAATCAGATATCTGATTATTGATTTAAGTTATGTTATGTTCTACATTGAAAGTAAATGACCATAAATGACAATAAATGACAAAAATTACAAAAAAATGACTGTCATTTTACATCCCTACAAATATGTTGGAGACGGCTTAACCAAATATAGACATATTATATAGTTTTGGAATTGGGAAATTATGTTCTTCAAGAATATAGAACCAAATATAGCGCATCCTATTTGAAAAAAGCTGAAAGCATGCAATATATCATATTTCTGATAATCAATTTTTGTTTCTGACCTTGGATTCTGAAATTTAGCCAAAACTGTACAACTTTTGTATTTACAACTTTTGTATTTACAACTTTTATCTACCTGTAAAGGTAAGGGCTGTAGGTGGGGTGTCAATATATTAAAAAACACCCTGTACAAATAAGTGGATTATTGCGGAACTTATGGGTCGACCTCTGCGGGACGAGCGCAGCGAGTTTCGCATCCATCTATTCATCAATATGATGTTTAATTACGATACTAACTTGATTTACTCAAATGTGAGTTATTCTCATTAGTTTAAAAAAAACACGTTTCAGGTGAGTGTCATAATTTCAAAAGTTCAACAGTATATTGGTGAGTAGATGGCTGCGGAACTCGCTGCGCTCGTCCCGCTGAGATCCACCCATAAGTTCCGCAATAATCCACTTATTTGTATAGGGTGTTTTTTTTTATACAGGGTATCCCACAAGGTTTTTCCCAAATGATAACTTCGGAATGCATCATCGTATCTTCCACTATATAATTTTTCATAATTTTCTTCAACAAAGCTTTAACAAATATTTCATTGCCGATTTAGTAATTTAATTTTCTAACGAAAAATGTCATAATATACCATGAGTTACATTTAAGATTCGAAAGTTGACGTCACTTGACTGAAATCGAAGCGAAAGTGGTGAAATTGGATGACAATGGTCACAGCCTCCTACATTTAACAAGCCATGAAGTTAAAAAGGCAACACCGCAATCTTACCGCCAAGTGGTGCTGGT